AGAGCCTTGGCTTCGGGAACGGACTTACTGAAGCTATGTTAGTCTGGCCACCTTCAAATCTAGGCAGAATGGATGTTGACAAATTCAAGGTAGAGCTTGTGGGTTAAGTATATGTTGGGAGAGAAAATGCTTCCCATGACACCTTTTAAACCACTGAAATAATAAATGCAAGTAATTGTTAAAAGTTCATGCAGTACAGGAGAGTGAAAAATGAGAAGTGGGAGAGACTGTGAAATGGGCATTTGGCCCAGCAGCTCAAGTATCCACATCCCTTTAGGAACATTTGGGTTCAAATCCCCACTGCGCTTCTGATGTAGCTGTCTGCTAATGCACACCCTGGGAGGCAAGGGTCAGCAGACAATGGTACAGTGCTTGGGTCTCAGCCATCCTGTGGGAGACCTAGATGGATTAACAGGACACCAACCAGAGAGGAGACAGAGTTATGCTAACCATGAACTAAATATAAATGGCAGGGATTGCCAGAATGGATTAAAAAAAAAAGCAAGAAACAACTTTATGCTGTTTATAAGAAACACATGCTAATTAGAAAGACAAACAAGTTGCCAATAAAAGACCAGCCAAAAATATGCAAACACTCTGGGTAACAAAATAAGACTCACTGTATTAATAACAGAGAAACACCAAAACATTACTAGAGAAGGAGAAATATTCTGTAATAGGAGTAAATTCATTAGTATATCTTTCAGAGGTATTTTCAAGCAAATGAAAAGGGTACAAAAAAATTGACAATCAGAGAAGCAAACAAATCTACAACCACACAGGAAAGATTTTGATAATGCCTCCCTAAATAGTTGAAAGAACCAATTGGCCCTCTCCCCAAATCAGTAAGAATATAGATGATTTCAGCAACACGATAAGCCAAGTTAAGCTAAAATGATACTCATGGAACATTCTACTTTATGAATGCACACGGCATAGTCACCAAGGGAGACCACAGGCCAGGCCGTAAAAATACGTCTCAGTGATTGCCAAAACAGCTTTAAATAGCTCTCAGCTTCAAAAACAAAGTGCAAGGGAAATTAGAAGGTGCTTTTTGGAGACAACAGTGAAAAGGCATTGTATCAAAATATGTGCCATGTAGCTGGGCAGAGGCCAAAGGAAAAATCACGCCCTCAAATGCATTTTCTGCAAAGAAAAATGTATGAAATTCAATGAGCTAAGTTTCCATGTCAAGAAGCCAGATGAAAATATCAATTTAAGCTCCAAATAATCAGAAGATAAGCAATAGACAAATACACAGATAAAATGGAAAAAAAAAAAGACCTAAACACTAGTAAGGCAAAAAATTGATTTGTGGAAGAGATGAACAAAATGGATAAATAAATAAGGAAAAAAGAGAGGAGGTACAAATCACTAACATCAGGGATAGCACCATGGGTCCTATGTAAATCATAATAGGGATATTTTGAACTGATAATTTTATGCTGATGAATATGACAAACAAAATTGAAAAAAATATTCCTTGAAAAACAAATTACTTAGATCCATAAAATAGGAAATTTTAAAGTCTAAATAACTATCTATTTAAGAAAATGAGCTCATAATCAAAAGCTATAAAATTTCAATTCCTAAGTGCTTTAGTGGCAAATTCTACCAAAAAATTATGAAAAATGTTGGGAGCAGAGATTGGCTTAGCAGTTAAGTCAGCACTTGGGGGGCCTTTAGTAGCTCACAGGGAGAGCCTGGGTTTTTCTCTCGTGCAGTGCCATTCCTATGGGCACCCTGAGGTCCTGCTTCCTACCCAGCTCAAAGGTGCATGGCAGGCATTTGGTGGCTTGAACCAGTAGACAGAAGATCTGTGTTTCTCCTGACTCTTAAAAAAATAAAAAAGAAGAAAAAAAGAGGAAAAGTTTTTCATAAAACGGCTCAAGAAATAGAAGAGCAACATTCCTAACTAGTTTTATGAGGGCAGCATAACACTGATACCAAACTGACAGAGACATAAAGGAAAATCATCATCTAACATTCCTCATGAACAAAGGTTCAAAACACTCAACAGGAAATTAGCAATTAAATCCAGCAACATATTAAAAAGATAGCACTTCATGATTAAGAGCAAATTATTCCAGGAATGTGAACCTCGTCAAACATTTGAATACGAATCAGTACAGTTCAAAGTATCTTTTCAAAAAGGACAATAACTATATTACAAATTAAAAACATGGGCCCAGCCTTTTGCCATAGCAGGCTTAGCCTCCACCGGTGACAATAGCATCCTCCATGGATGCTAGTTCTAGTCTCAGCTGCTCTATTTTCAAACCAGTTCTCTGCTAGTGTGCAAGGGTGATCAACAGCAGGTGACCCAAGTATTTGGGCCTTTGCCACCCACTCCACAGACAAGGAAGAACCTCCAGGCTCCTGGCTTTGGCCATTGTAACCATCTGGGGAGTGAATCACCTAAGGGAAGAGTCTCACAGTCTATTCTCTCTCTGTAACTTTGCCTTTCAAATAAATTTAAAAAAAAAAAAAAAAAGGAAAGGAAATGGTACAGAAAGAGTATTTGACAAGATAAAGCATTCATTCATGTTATAAACTTTACTACATTACATGAGAAATGGAGGGAGATTTCTTTAACTTGAAAAATAACTTCTATGAATGACCTAAAGTCAAACTTAATGGAGAGGCACTGAACTTGTCACCTCTAATACTGGAAACAAGGCAAGAATATCCTCTCTCTCAACTTCAATTTAACAATATGCCAGAGATTCTAGTCAATATAATATAGCAGGAAAAAGAAATAAAAGGAATAAAATTGTACTTAACAGCACATGACTGCATGTAGAAAGCCCTATAGTATATTTTAAGAGCCATCAGAATACAGTAAACTTAAAAGGTTTGCAGGATAAAAGATCAATATACAAAGTAAATTATGTTTCTACACAGAAACAGCAAATAATCTGCAAATGAATCAGTCTCATCAAAGACATCTCTTGGGAGGTAGGAACCTGCTGGTTTAGCAGGGATGACTGGGTTCGAATTCTGGCTCCACTCTGAGGTAGCTTCCTGCTAACAGCCATCCTGGGAGGCAGCAGGTTCAATACTTAGGACCCTGCCACCTACTTAAGCTTGGATGTGGTTCCTGGCTTTGATGTGGCTCAGACCTAGCCACTGCAGGCATTTGGGGTTTGAACCTATGAAAGGAAAGATCTTTGTCTCTCTCTACCTCTCATGTGCATAAATGGAAAAAAAAAAATCACAGAAGAAAAGTAATGTAAGGAAAAAACAGAAACAACCAGAATATGCCAACTGCAGAAATGGGTATAATTATTCTAAAATTTATGAAACGCAGAGGATTGAGAATGGCCAAAACAACCTTTAAGAGAAGATGAAAGTCAGAAGGTGTATGCTAGCTGACTGCAAGTTTATTACAAAGACTCAGTAATAATAAAGCCACAGTAGTAGGAGGAAATATTTATCAATGAGTAGGACAAGAATCCAGAAATGTATCTAGAAGTGTACAGTCAATTTAGTTTCCATCTAATTGAAGAAAGGTCTGCTTGGTAACCAGACAGTCATAGGGAAATAAATTAAACTGAACCCCGTCTCACTCCATGTCCATATACATGTGTTATACCCAAGTAACCTGAGAAGGATGATGACTTCAACATAAAAGCTAAAACTACAAATCTTGAAGAAAATACATTATAAGACTATAACAATGTTAGGGCAGGCAAAAAATTTTTTGGGAAAAACTTCCCTGTGCCATAAAAAAGTATTCCTCCACACGGCTTCATGAAAATTTAAAATATCTACTCTTTTTCTCACTAAGGGGGCTGGCAAGGTGGCACAGAAAGCTAATATTACACCTGTGGACCTGGCACCTCATATTGGTGCCAATGTAAGTCCTGGTTGCCCAGCTCCCTGCTTACGGTCTGGGAAAGCAGTGGAGGATGGCCCAGCTACTTGGGACCCTGTACCCAGGTAGGAGACCCAGAAGCAGCTTCTGGTTCTTGGCTTCGAATCAGCTCAGCTCTGACCACTGTGGCCATAGGTGAGTGAATCAACAGACAGCAGATCTCTCTCTCTCCCCTTTTTTAGATCAATCCACTTTAAAAAAATTTAGAAACAATCTAAGTATCTTCCCACAAGAGAATGGGTAAAACAAATGCTATATATTCAAACAAAGAAATTAAATTAAACTATTGGTTTACACTATAGCAAGGATGAATTACAAAAACAAGCTAAGAAAATAAATAAATATGCCAAATAACAATATCATGATTTGATTTTTTAGAAATTAAAAAAATAGGTAAAATTAATTGAGGCCTAGTGGTAGAATTTTTAAAAATGATTTCATAGGGTAGTGTGGTATGGGACTGCTTGAACAAAGGCAGTGAGACAGAAAAGTTCTGTATCTTGCCTTGACTGTGGTTACTGGACACGAAACTCTGAACTGAACACTTAACATCTGTGATTCTGTTACATCCGTACTAGACTTCAGTTTTCAAAATCTCTAAAAGATCATTTTTTAAAAAAGGGAGAATCCAAAATATTTATAGAACTTACTTCTGGGTGTTGGGATCATAGCTAATTTTTCTTTTGCAAACTCACATTTTGCTCAACTACAATTTTCTAGAATGAACACAGATTCTCTTTCAAGGTTTCAGAGCTGCCACGTGTCAGTGTTTGTCTTCCGGAGGAAGGACTGTGGGTAACGGGCAGGCTGAGCCACGGCCTCTTTCCCTGTAGGCAGCCGGTCTCAGAGCACTCTGTGCCCTGTGCTCACAGAACTGGTGGACAAGGAGCAGTGTCAAACAGGACCAAGCCAGAGCCTGCCTGTCACAAGGGGGGGTTTGGGGAGGGTCTGATAAAATAGCTAAGGTCTTGTTACAAAGTATTCTTGAAGCCACAGGGAACTAAAGCAGCATTCTTTTCTGTTATGATGTGAAAGTCAGATTTACTACTTCCAGTCCCTTCAGAACATGACAGAAGGCTGCTGGAGCAACCCTGTCCTTGCAGCCAGAGCCGAGAACACTCACCCGTGGTCGCCATAGCAGTGATCCTGCAGCGTGGAGCCTATACTCTGCGTGCTTAACCGCCTCCTCTCCACCTCCTTCCAGCTGTCTGTCCATTTTCTTTTGATCTGCTTCTCTTCCTGCTTCTTCCCCACGTACTCAGCATAGGTCTGGATCCGATAGCTTTCTGCATATCTGCTGGTATTGACAGCTACAGGGAAAAAGAAGAAATCCTTTCAAGGGTCTGGCCTAGCTCCAAAGAGGTCACTTTTGAAAGGCGGCCTGAGGTAGCCAAGGGAACCCCAGGACTGGCCCCGCCTCTGCAGTTTAGAAAAGATGGGTGACTTTGGACATGTGCCATGAGCAGCTCTTCATCTGGAGAAAAGAGAGCCATGGCTCCCCAAGCTCCCTCTCCGTACAAAAGCACTTTGTAAACTGCAAAGTGCTATAATGGTGTCAGCAAAAAAGTTCTTTTCAAAATATGTGTGCTAAATTTACTGCTTGAAAATTATTCAGAGTAAGACAATGAAAGTATGTAAACAAAACGTCTAAAGCAAAACCGTAAACCCTGTTTTATTAAAAATACAACTGACAGACAGAGCAACCTGAACAGTGGTTGTGACGGCTGCATGGCAGCCTGGACGTCTACTTTGTGCCTGTGTTTGGTGCTCTGAGAATCTCCCATCTACTCTCAGCACGCGGGTGAGGGAGGCACATGACAGGAAGGCAGGATGCGGGGGTTGGGGACTGCACAGGCAACACCCACCCTAACGCCAGGGCCCTCTGGGCCTGTCTGTACCTCACTGCCTCCTGCACATCCACGATATGCCACAATACTTGACACAGGCCTCTTCAGCTGCTGCTGCTGAAGACGGCTAATTCCCTGTAATGTGCCTCTGGCTGACAGATGTACTTGGAGCTAATGCTTCAGATGAAGGCCAGGGAGGCTTGTGCTAAGCCCATGGAACCCCGCCTCTGTGGCTGTGGAGGGCAAACACTGGGAATGTGGACGCCAGGACCAGCAGAAGGTCTGCAGGCACATGAGGGCCCACTGCTGGTGCCAGCCTTTGTGGCTTGAGCTTATATTGTCCTAGCCCATGGCCATTGCCCATGGCCATGTCCCACAATGGCAACGAGATGGAAAGAGGCCAGATATGCTCTTGGGGAGCAGTGTTGGTGCCAGGCTAGCTGAAGGCTCACCGTGACCTGGAGACAGAGGTTGTACACCTGCAGCAGGCAGGGCCCGCAGTACAGAGCAGCTCTTGGGAAATACTTTGGGAACCAACTGGAACACAACACTGGCAGTGGGTAAGAACTGGCAGAGACCTGTGTATGCGGGCCTTAAGTCAGAGGGAAAGACGGCTGCGCCACCGGCAGATGGTTCCCATTTCTGACACCTGACGCTTCAAACACCACCAGATGTAAGTCAGTGTCTCAGCACAACGGTTTATACACAATGTTGTGCCCTGAATCTGTGCCATCAGAAACACAAGGGAAAAAAAACCCGCTTCTTTAAAAAACATACATTTCTTTTTTATTCAGAAATGTGTTGCACTTTTCAAATGCCTGCTCCACAGCTAAAAATGGGGGCAGAAAACCCTCAACTTATCAGAAACTTTCATTTCCCACACAGCATCCCAAAGCAGCAGAGAGCGCTCCTGTGCAGACCTCACGGTCACCGGTCACCAGTCACTGAAGGAGAGAGGCGCTCCTGCTGCCCTGTCACCCTGAGAGCCACAGACACAGGGTCTCAACCTGAAAATCCTATTCTTTGGGACCGTTCCTTCTGCCTTCCAGGTGTCCCATTTCTGACCCCACCCCCAACTCATTCATCCACCAGTCCGTCAATATACACATCCAAAAAACGTCACACAGCTTTGCTTCCAAGTGGCGACCCAAGCAGGGTGCCTTTGTCTCTGGGTTATGCTGTATTGCATAGTGTCTGGAGGCATCTCTGCACTTACAGAGCTCAAACTGCCATAGTCCAATTTTATGCAGAGATGGTTTCCTGTGAGCGAGAGACTCCCGAAAGATGAGAACCCACAGGCTGGGCCATCATTCCTCTACTAGGAGCTGGCAAATGAGCGCTCCTGGATCCGCTTCTGTGCACTTCATCCATTCAACCTGAAGGCTGATTTTGCAAATGTTTCCCAAAGGAATGACATCTATAATCACCCAATCTCATGTTTAATTTGGATCACCAAGTCAAAGAGTCGCTTGGGTCAATACTCCTCATGAAAGCAAAGGTGATGACAGGGCCAGAAAGCAGTCAAGAGGACTGCGTTAGCAGCATCCCATTGTTTCTAATAATTGAGCCCAGTCTCACAGGCAAATGTTACAAGTAAGCCCCTATCTGTGATGAGGGAATTATATATCTGAGCACATTTGGAATGAGGCTTGCTTACAGTGGGAAACAAGTAACAATCCACTTTACACTGCAGCCTTCACATGGCAGTAATTCACCAGCATTCCTTTAAGTCCCAGCAGCTTTGCAGCCCTTGGCCTTTCATCTAGAAGCCAAGCACTGGCTCGAAGCCACGCCTCTAACGGATGAATCAGCAAAATGAATTGGCTGTCAACTGCGTCCTCCAGTCATTGCAGCAGGCCTGTCAGAAGCAGCACGTAGCAAGCTGCTTGGTAACACTAACCTTCTCCAAATCTGTCAGGGAACTGATTCAAGCATATCTTTCAAGCCTGCCCCTTTGTCAAAGCCTCCAGGGTGCCAAACACGGGAAGAGTCCTTCCTGTGTCCCTTAGGTGAACAAGCAGTGCAATCTCATCCCTGCACAGAGTCACTGTGCCTGGTGCACTGTGCGAATCCTGACACCAGGCACACATCACAGCACTGCATCTCGGCAACACCCTCTGCAGAAGAGATGCTCTCCTCTGCAGAAGGAGACTGGGACGGAGGAGCCGGGAAGCTCCTCAGTTTGCCTACAACCTTGGAGGGAAGCCACTGAGCTGGTTTGGAACCGAGACACGACTGACTAACAGATGAAACAGATGACACACAAAAAAATGCTATACTTCCTCATGCTTGCTGTGTACTTACACATACGGTGTGGGCTAACAATCACCTCACAAAATACTTTTGTATTACAAATTTTAAACGATTACTGACATTGTTTTTTTTTTTAATTCAGAACTTTGTCATTATTTTTAAGCAGAATCTCTTCAACAATGGTGACAGACCGCTTATGAACAAGAAAGCTTATCAAACGAGGTATACTCCCTCCTAAATTCATCTGTGACTTTAATGTCATTCCAGGAAAAATTCTAATAAAAACTTTGAATAATTAAAAATAAAAATTAATGAAGACCTCATTGGAAAACAGCAGTAGGAATGGGAGACTGTGCTGAGCGGAAGCTGGCTGCAAAGGGGATGAGTGGGCTTTGGGACTGACTGTGGGAGTGTCTCCAGGACTGCACACACTGACCAAGGCCCAACACTAGACTGCGACTCCTGCAGGCAAGTTACGTCTCAGGTACTCCGCAAGACCTGAAGGACAGACATTTTTCTTACAGACAAAATAAAAAAAATATTTGTCTTAGAGATAATTTCTTTTTGGGAAGATGTAATCTTAGCATTGCTCTTTTTAATACTATTTCTTTTTTTTTTTAACCTTATATTTAATATTTTCTTTAATACTGATTCTTTGTTTTTATTGCCAGAGCTATCCTGTCATTTTAACGATGACCGAGGGCAGGGGAAGATGTTTCACCTGATGCCTCTGTGGTTGAACACAGGGTTAAAGCAGCGGAGATGTACCTGGAGACCAGGCAAGGGGGCGAGTCAAACCGCTCAAGAAAAGGTGATCACAGAGCAATGGTACCAAGATGGTGTGAGAAACTGGGAGAGAGAGAGAAACTGGCCAATCTCACAGGGGAGCCCAGTGAGAGACCCAGGCATCAATGGCACTCTGATTTTTGACAGACAAGCCTGGAAAAGCTGAAAAACTATTTATCCATAGGGAAACAAATGAAATAGGATTCTTACTCACACCATGCCCAAAAGCCCACTCCAGATGGAAGAACTTAAATGTCAAAAGCGAACTTTGAAAACTTGAAAAGAAAATATAAGTGAGTATCTGTCTGAGCTTGATGAAGGGAGGAATTTGTGAAGATACAAAAAGGGTTAAGCATGAAAAGATCAGTAAGTTGGCTATATTAATATTAAAGCTTCTGTCCATCAGAAGATGCTTGAAAGAGTGAGGACAGCATTCACACTGGGAGGAGACGTGAGGAAGCCATTAGGCCGACAGGGGATGAATGCTAGAATACGGCAGAAAGCATACAAATCAGCAAGACAACACCAGAAACAGAAAGCACACCCCACTGGCTCACGGGAGCGGAAACAGACAGGTCAATCACACGGGCAGAGATGCTGAATCTCAGGCAAAGCAGGCAGGAAGAGATGCTTTTATAGCTATTTTGCTGGCAGAATGAAGAAGACTGGCAGGACCCACTCCTGAGCAGGCGGGAGGAATGGGACGGCCGGCCGATGAGGGCAGAATCACTTGGGAAGACAATGTGGTGTTCTCACTGAAAGTTGATCATTCTCAGAAATAAGTTCTAGTGACCCACTGACCCATGGCACAGCATGGAACCAGTGGTTCATAGGAACGTACAATGCACTGCATAAAGAACTGGAAGAGTGGAGCTGTGAGGCTCAGAGAGACAGTGAGATGGCTGCTGGCTTCACCAGCTAACACAAGGTGTTACGTGTGTAAACATGGCACTGCATTTCCATAAACACACGTATTTATTACATGGTAATTAAAACTTGCAGAAAATAATTTAAGAAAAATATTAAGGCCACTCTTGTCACATTCTGCCCATGACCCAGGATGTGTTAATACGTGGATACACAGATTTATGATTATTAATCATCGATACAAGCATTTTCAAAAGCAAACTGTAACAAACAAGTGAACAAAAAGCCAGAGGAGGAAAGGGATGGAGGGAGAAGAAAGAAAAGGGAGGAGAGGAGAGCCAATTCCAATCCCCACAGTGAGGTGAAAGGACACATTTCAGTACCTTCATCCACAGACACATCAGTGAATAACAGCCACTGACAATAAAACGGATGCATCACAATCACACAACGGAAATGCAAGCACAATAGTTGGAGCCTATATTGTTTGACACCCATTTTTAACAGGTTCAAAATCACAGCAAATACACACTGAACACACCCCCTTTCCCTTTGTG